TCCCACAAGCAAAGTTTGCAGCCGAGTGCATCGCAAATCTAATCTGATCCCACTGTTGGTGTACTCCACTATGTCGCGGTTTTCCTAGCTCGTGTCCGAGCTTCTCCTTATAACGTGAGCAGACAGCTGGATCGCGCAGACGATGCTGAGCTAATTGAGGAGGCGATTTCTGCCGATGACAAACGAGTCGAAGAGCGAAACGAAGCAGAACTAGGGCATGATCCGACTTAACGCAGGTGAACTAATAAGATCTGCAATTTTGTACTGAACCACGCCAACGCTAGCTTACAGCTACGTGGTCAATTTGGGTCAATATGCCCGTTGAACTAGAACACCATGTAGAATTCGCTTCACCCTTGTCTGGAGGTTTAAAAGCTTACCGTCCTCGTCCGCAGTTGCTTCTGGGCTGCGGTAAACAAGCTACCGCACGTTTCCTGTTTCCTATGTTGCGCTTACATGCGACGGCCTAGATGCTATCAACGCATAGCGAATATGGTAACTCCCACTGAACGTAGTTCGAATTCAAAATTAAGAAAACTCCCCCGCCCTGGCACCCATCGAGATGAAATACCCTGAAGTAGAACCTAATCGAAGAGTTTCAACAAAGCAAACATGTAACAGCTAAGAACTTTGAGGTAACTCTTTTACGCAAAGGTAAAGGAGGTAAATCTATAAACCTAGCGAGGAGCATAAAAAGACCCATATGGAAAGCGCAGAGTACGCGACTGCTACGGGTGAATATCGTTATCCAGATAGCCCTGACTTTACAGAATTTCAAGTTTCTTTCTTTGACTCGATTGCACGAAAACAGCGCATACAACATACGAAACTACTCGGTCACCTGAGTCTTTCACATGCGAATCCATCGTGGAACCGGATCTTTTCAAAGTTTGCATTCCCAGACATTTTGCAAACAATTAACAAAGGCCAACGAAGATCAGGCTTAAGGAGTGAATAATTGGAAATTTAGGCGCAGAAAAACATCCTTGCGAGTGCGTCCACGAAAGAAAAAAACGCGAAAACAAAACGCCTCATTGAGTTAGAAGGGAAATTAATCACACCATGTTAGACAATGCACCAACAAAAGTTGACGACACAACCATTTTTACTTTTTACCTGCAGTGCGATTATTTTCGTTGTATCATTTTTGGCCTCTGCTTCGCGTAACTGGTCCTCGGCAATATTATAGTTGTGGACATAGGCTGCGTGATGCTTCCCGTGGTGTAATTTCATTATTTCTGCTGATATTGTAGGTTCCAATGCATTATAGTCGTAGGGCAAATCTGGCAAAGTGTGCTTTGCATTGAATATCACATTGCAAACACGATCGGCGCGAAAGAAGA